GTGTTGTGTAAATCCTCTCGTGACGTTCCTTCTGTCAGGACTGCTGCCTTCCCTTGTGTCTTTCACAAATATCTCATTTATCAGATAAACGCCCCAGAATGTAAAACAGCAGAATTGTGGTTTGTGTGTCTGATTCAGAGCCTTCTGGGATCCGGTTTTCACCCGCATGAGGTTTAAACTGATATGCTGCTTCTAATCATCACCTGGTTTTATTTCTACCTGTCTCTGCTGTTTGACATCCAGAGCCCCCTCTTGCCTCCTGCTTCAGGCTGTTTAACCACGTCTGGTGGAAGCTTATATCAGTTTAACCCACTTCTGCACCTCAGACTGTTAAATGTTTTCACATGACCCAGTTTAAGCCTCCACCTATTCCCAGTTGTTTTCCTCTGAACCTGGATTTTCTTCTCCCACCAGTCTCTTTTTTTTAATCCCCCACCAGAATCTCATTAAGGCTCCTGTTTTCCCCTTCAGCCAGCCTGATGATGACGGTTTATCCTCTAATCCTAACCTCTATACCTTCCTCCATCTCTCAATTAATGCTTCACCTTAACCCAGTGGAATCCGGACCTGCAGTACCTGCTGCTCCCCTCCTGCAGCTGGAGAAGTGCTGCACCAGGAACAACAGCGCCACCCTGGCCTGGAGGGTAACTGCGCCTGCAGCGACCCCCACCGAGGGCTACATCCTGGAGCTGGATGATGGAAACGGAGGACAGTACAGGGTTGGTCACTGTGTGGAAAACAGATCGCAACCACTCACAAAACTGAATCACGAGAGAACCACGTCATTCTTGCTCTTGTAGCTTTTATTATTAAACATGCTGCTCACTAGAAAGGTTATCTGATTAATCCTGTCACAAGTAATGCCTGCATCCATCTCATGTATTATGCACGAGACATAAAGTGTGTGTGTGTGTGTGTGTGTGTGCACATAAGCTGCATCTGTAATGATGTAGTGCGATTCCCTCAGGAGGTGTACGTGGGGAAGGAGACCATGTGCACGGTGGACGGGCTGCATTTCAACAGCTCCTACAACGCCAGAGTGAAGGCCTACAACACCGTCGGAGTGGGACCGTACAGCAAGACGGTGGTGCTGAAGACTTCTGATGGTGTGTGTGTGTGTGTGTGAGTGAGTGAAGACGTTCAACAGGTTAGCTTATTGCTGCCAGAACAACAATCTGTAGATAAAATTATTTTGTTTCTCTACAAATGGAAATTTTATTTTTGCTTTCTTATGAAAATGTGCTCAAATGATGTTGAGGAGTGAGTAACTTTGAACTATGAGAACAGAAAGGAAACGGTGGAGAGGGAAGTGATACAGAAAAAGTACTTTTGACTCAAACTAGAACAGCTGAAGGAAGAAACGATATAAAAACAACAACAAGGAGGGAAATAAATTTAAAAAATGACGATTCTTCTTTAAAACTTTTCCATACGTTCACACTAACTCTCCTTGTCATCAACAATAGCAGTCGGCTTAAGAGCGTCTGCCTTCTGACTGATGAGTTTATCCCTCCTGCTCCTCCTCTCCTCTCCCTCTTTCCTCCATTTGAGAACTGCAGCTTGACATTGTCAGGACCAATGTGCTTCATCAAGTCTCTGTTCTGTTCAAATATGACTTGTTTTATTATTTTCGCCCCCGATGCAAAACTAATGCTGTCGTTTTGTCCTAAACTCACTTAGATTCTGTTCCACAGATTTGTAAAAAATACACAAACTCTATAAAGTTGTGCTTTATTTAATAATCTGTTTAATTACTTATATTTTAAGTGACTTCACAAATGAGGGCATGACTTGCATCTGTTCAGGTTATATTAAGTGAGAAAGAAAGGTTTTTTAATAGTTTTTTTTATTTTGGGCTATAAGGGTTATTTTCTATAATAATTTTATTATTTTGTCATAGTAGAAAGAATAAGTCGGCTTTTTAAAATAAAAGAGTTCATAAAACGTTAATTTTTTTGTTTTAGGCATGTTGCACATCAAAATTTACTTTATTGTATTTTTCTTTGTCAAACGTGTTTTCAATCAGAAATGTGTCATTAAAACGGCCTCTTTATATCAGATTTGAAGATTATTGACAGCTGATTGGTCCATCTATGTTTTTGAAACCAAAGTTTGTGTAGAAGTGCCAAATACTCAGGAAACTGGTCAGTTTTTAACTTTTTAATAAAAGTTGAAGACAGCATCACTGATCAGTTAGCTAAAATGATTTTAACCTTTTTAATCCCTATTTATATTTTGGAAGAGTTATTTTATATTTATTTATTTGTGGGGCATCCATTTCTTTTAATTAATATTTAATGGGGATGCACCGATCTATCAGCCACGATCTAGGGTTTTTTTCAAGATCGGTTATTGGCCAAAAACTGCAATCGGTGCACCGCCAGTCAGTGTCAAAGCAAATCATAGCTATAGAACAATGTTTGGAACAAGTGTGTCGAAACCGTTACAAAAGTTTCGTTTTCAAAATGAGAAAAATTAAAGTCTAAAGGAACAAATATGATTCAAACAGCAATGCTCAGTATGGTCATTTATATTTGAGAACATTACCTCATGTCCAGTTGAAACTGGTGTTGTTTCGTGAGTATTCATATTGGTTTTCTCAATGAAAGGAAAGTCAAACATTGACGTAATCTGCTTTTAGTTGAGACAAAATCGGAATCGGCAAGTCTGGTTTTTCTCAAGATCGGCCAAAAACTGCAATCGGTGCACTCCGACATCTCGTTATGTCAGTTAGACCCTCTTGGTCTCGATCCAAACATCGGCTCTAACTGTTCCTTCCTCCTCGCAGTGGCTTGGTTCACCTTTGACCCCACCTCGGCTCACCGGGACATCGTCCTGTCTAACGAAAACCAAACCGCCTCGTGCAACAGCTACGACGACCGCGTGGTTCTGGGGACCGCTGCCTTTTCTAAGGTGAGGCATCTCAAAGTCCTAAAAGGTTTCACAGCGACATGACTCGAGATTTAAGTTTCCACGCCCCTTCGCCTCTCAGGGCGTCCACTACTGGGAGGTCGGCATCGATCGCTATGACAACCACCCAGACCCAGCGTTTGGGGTGGCGAGGATCAACACCATGAAGGAGATGATGCTGGGGAAAGACGACAAGGCGTGGGCCATGTACGTGGACAACAACCGCTCCTGGTTCATGCACAACAACTCCCACACCAACAGGTACGTGGGACGGGTTTTGTTTTTGTTTACAAACGACGGTTTGAGTTTATCTTGCATCAAAATGATTGTTGATTTACAAAAATAAAGAGGACATCTAAATGCCAAACACATTAAAATGAATGTTTCAGCTTTTACTGAGATACTTTGATGTTTCCTACATATTTTTCCCACTAGGGTTCAAAAAGTAGAAAGTGACCTACTGTATGTGTGTGTATGCAGGGCGGAGGGGGGCATCACTAAAGGCTCGACTGTGGGCGTCCTGCTGGATCTGACCAAACGGACTCTAACGTTCTACATAAACAAGCAGCAGCACGGCCCCATGGCCTTCGAGAACCTGGACGGTGTCTTTGTGCCTGCCGTCAGCCTCAACAGAAACGTACAGGTAGGTGTGGAGAGTTGGTTTTATGTCAAAGACATCAGAAGCGCATGAAATGGACTTTAAATTTTCATTTTTAGCCGATTATGGTTGTAAAAAAGCTTTTTTGCAGAAACGTGAACAAACTGGTGTGAAATCAGCAAAATACAAATAGACAAGTTCGGTTGAGGTAAAGAAAATTATCCGGTAAAAATGTGATTAATTTTACTGGTTTTATATCAAGACAGAAACAGAGACTGAAATCTGAAATCCTTTTCATGAGGTAATTTTTCATTAGATGTAAGTATTTTAAGTCTCTTCTACTCTACGGGGAAAATTAGCCTTCATGGCCCCACCCACCTTGGCTTAGGGACTGCCCATGGAAAGGAGAGAGCGTCTCGGATAGTAGAAGCTAAATGTTAAGCCTGATTTATGCTTCTCCGTCTGCGTCAGTGCGGAGACTCGCAACGCCATTATCCGTCCTTGCGTAGGGCACGCAAGTACGTACGGAGTCAAGCCCACTTTTTTTAAACATCCGTCGAACGAGACGGATTAGCGTGTTATTTATGTTGCGTTGCATTATTACCTAAAAAGTTGCTGTAAGCCAGTCGGAGACAAGATGTTATCGTGAATAATAATGAGTGAGAAAATTCATTGGTACAAGAGACCTGAGCACAGTGATTGAGACCTACAAGGATTGATCTTTTTGTATCAGATCCTGTCGGTTTTCCTTCCTATTTGTTTTCTCTGTTGTCTCCTCCTCAGGTGACCTTACTGACGGGTCTGGAGGTGCCACAGAACATCAAGCAGTAGGAGGAGCTCCTTCCTCCACTCTGAATGTGAACCTCTGATGTCAGGTGCTCTCTCACTTCCCACGTGGAGGGGATTGACCTCAACCGCCTCGAGGTCGTCTCAGAAGAGATGATTGGCTGTTTATTTATTGCAGGACTTATTTTAACTCCACTTGTATTTATTTAAAAAAGAAAAAACCCTCCTGAAAGCCTGAACCCAAACAGACGTTCTCACTGTGCCGTAGGAACCTCAAGTATGTTGATTTTGTTTTCCATGGCTGGCTAGCTCCTGTAATCCATCCCAGCCAGGTGAGGACAGCGTGGGAGTCTCATGATAATTTCATCCTCTGCTCATCTCTAAGTCTCTCTGATGCCTTCGTGCTGAAAGCGAGACTCGAGTCACATCAGGAAAAGCTACGTCTGCTGCTACATTTTTCATCAGGGATTATATACGGCAAGCCGGAGAGGACAGTAGCTTCAACCAGGCCACTGTGACTCCAAGCCCATAAGTTTATTTGAGCTTAATTCAATGCGTGTCATCCTGGTTTTTGTCTTTTTATCCCACGAGTGAGAGAAATGAGATTAGACTGGAGTTTCTGTGTTAAATCTATAAACTGTAAATACCGGAACGACGACATAAAGCATGGATTAAGCACTGAAAACAAGTTTACAAACTATCTGAAGCTGTAATGTAAATAGTGTGCTGTTTAATTGTCTTTGTGCTGAGTGATGTTGCTGCAGCTATGGGGACACATCACCCTCTGCTGGCCAAAGGAGGGAACAGCAGCAGTCACCAGGATTTCTCGCTGCAGTTTAATTTCATATTTAAACATTTGGTCAAGGACATAAGATGTAAGTAACCCATCTTAATCCTCCTGACGGGTCGATTTTTCATTGCGAAAGTGTTTTTTACTGCATTAATCAGGTAAAGCCTCTATAAAAGTTATGTAGTATGTAGTGCTATAGAGTAGGAAACTATAAAGGAGTACTTAATTATTTAATATTTGCTTTATATAATTTATTTGTAATGTAAAAAGCCACAAAACTCTAATTCTTTCAACTAGAATTTATTTAATGACTCCACTACGTCTCCATTAGCTGTTTTGAAGGTGTTATTTATACTTTATTAAAGCAAACAAAAAAATCATGACATTTTAATGCATATTTAAACAGTTTTATTTACATGTCAGGTTTTTATCTGTATAGATCTTTTGATTTTGAGCAACGAACAAATTTACTGTATGAAATCTATCAAATCCCGGTCTAACGGTCCGTTTTTAGGTCATTTGCACCAGATGCAGAGTCTAATCAGCAGGGCAGGTTCACAATGTTGTTTAACTTTTAAAAGATATTTTATTTAGAACAACTATTTTGTTACAGATTTAAAAGAAAAAGACTGAAAATGATGCTTTTGTATAAATGTGGTTTTGTGTTTGTTGAGCATGTCCCTTTACCCGACGACGCCCACCCAGGAATGTGACTTTCATCAGATTTAACCTCTATGGTGCTGGGAGAACGCATGCCGCCACGGTTGTTACATAATTAACTTAAAACAGCAAATCTTTTTTTTTTTTTGCTTTATACCATCTGTAAATATTCAGCCATGTTTTATTTCACCTTCTCTGTGAACTCAGTCCACAACGAAGGTTGCCAGTAAAATAATAATTTTAAAAAGCTTTGCATCTTCAAAATGTCCTGAAGATAAAACAGAATCCACAAAGCTTCGTTCTTTAGGAACAAATCTTTAAATGCTGCTTAGAGGAACTTTGTGAGAAACTGACCTAGCTCAGCCGCGCACTGCCACGTTACTTCTGCCCAACCCGGTTTTCATCCTTTAAGGAAAGATGTGAAGAAGTGTTAATAATTTATTTGTACTGCATAAAAACCACCTTTCTATAATATACGTGTTTATTTCTTCATAAAAACGGTTTGTTTGTTTTTAAATCACCAACTTTATCCTCTAATGTCTCTGTTCCTGCTGCCAGTGGAAGTGTTTTGTACGACATGGTTTGTAAATAAAAATAAACACTGTAACTGCATCATTTTAAAACTCTGAATCATTAATAACAAATGAAATAAATAAACAGTCGTGAGGATTGCGGGTGTTGGACTCGACGCCCGGTGACATCATCATCATGCCAGGAAAGCAGCCATTTTCCCCGTTTGGATGCGAGGAGATGCTGAAGAGTCACTGAGCAACACTTCCTACCTCCAGCCTCAGATTAACTCCACCTGCAAACACAAATTTAAAACACTTGTTTAAATAATTTGAGCTCTTCTCAAAGTCGCGTTAGAAATGTAGAAACAAACCTTTGTTCTTCACTTGTTGCTTTTGATTTTCTGGATCTCCTTGGGGTTGAGGACCAGCATGCCATTCTTGAACCGACCCACCTGGCCCGAGGGCGCCGAGCCCAGACCCGCACCAGAGGAGGACTTCTTTTTGTCTCTGGCGGAGAGAAGAGGTTGGATTGAGGTCATAAAAACAGGCTTTTTTTTGTTTTAACTTTAAACTAGAGCTTTAACGTTGATCTCGGCGATTGTTGAATTAGGAATTTGACCAGTTTCATATTTGACACCCCTCTGCTGCCTTCTGCTGGCCACTTAACTCATTCACTGCCAGCCGTTTCCTGATCAGTAAAGCCCTTTGCTGCCAGCATTTCTCACCGTTTTTACTGTTTTTTTTAAAGAGTCACAGAACGTTGCACGCTAGGATGATGACGACGCCAAAACAACCAAAACAAAGAGGAGACTCACCTCTTACATCAGGAAGAATCCACGCGTTTCGAGCGTTATCCGTTCTTTCATAATCTGTTGTCGAATTGCAATCGGCAGAAGCTTTTCCGGTTCGCACCTCTTTTTTTTTTTTTACAGCAGCGGCCCAAAACGATCTAACACATGGATTTTCTGCTTCCTGATCATGTGACGTGACGTATGCGGGTGAAGATCAGCTTCAGAACTGAGATGTTTGTTCTCACGGTGGGGGGGCTCGTTCCGATGCCCACACAGTAAAAAAAAATGCAAATGATGACTTTAGTCGTCATTGGCAGCGAATGAATGAATTAACAGTTTTGTGATGCAGGTAGGTGCCCTATAGGGGGAGCTATTTACCTGCTTTATGGTTACTAGCTGCTATGCTAGCAGTTAGCTCTGTTGGTAACATGGCGGAGCCTGTAACTAAAAGTAAGAGAGTAATGTCTTTGGAGGTGAAGCAAGGAGCTAAATCCAGAGTGAACATCTGTGTGGCCTACGCTACCTTTAGGGAGCTAAAGGAGGCTACCAAATCACAAACTGATGGTGACCTGGCCTTGGTGCTACTGGATTTGTAAGTAATAATATTTTTTTGTCCAACGGTGTGGATCTTTTTACTTTGTGGTTTATTTTAGTATTAGCTGGCTCATGTTAGTGTTAGCTCGTTGTTAGCGCTAGCTACAGCAGGGTTGTTTACGACAGTTGTAATTCTACTTTATACCCGTAGGGTGGAGGAGCAGGAAACTGCTCTGTGTTATTTTAAACCAGGGCTATTCAATTCCGGGCCTTGAGGTCCGGTCTCCAGCACGTTTTGGTTTTATCTCTGCTTCAACACACCTGATTTCAATTAGTAGGTGATTAACAGGCTTCTGCAGAGCCTGATGAGCTGCTGCACAGGTGACTCAACCGCTGGATATCGGCCCTCGAGGCCTGTTTTAAAATAATATATAGAATAAATGGAATTTTAAGGACATCCAGTGATGTTCTTACTTACCTTTGATTGCTCTTCTTTTTCTTCTTCTTGTCCTAAAAGCAATTAACACAAGTTACAAAAAGCCAAAAATGAATAAATAAACTATAAAGTGCAGCTCTTACAGGCTGGAACTCCTCCTTTTCTTTCTGCTTCTTCTCTTTCATCTGCCGCTGAAGCTCCTTGTAGTTGACAAAGTCCTTCTTAGGAGGCTGACAGAGAGAAAATGGATGAAAAAATGACCGAGAATGTAGCTTTGGAAGGGAACGCAGACTGTTCTTTTATTTTCTCACCCGGGCTCCAAGCATCACCGCTCTGTGCTGCTCAAAAACACGCTGCTGCTCCTTCTTGTAGCCCGTGATTCCAAAGCGATGGACCTCCAGACGAGCCTGAAGCCAACACGCCCAAAGAGATCACAAAATCAGCCAGAATTAAAGCTGCTCTCCGGAGGTTTCCTCTTTCAGAAATTATGTATTATTTGTCAGAAATCCGTAAAACTGATTATCTTATCTTATCTTATCTTATATAATATAAGCAATACGTCTTTATTTTTGTTAACCACGCCCCCTGCCCGGCAGAGCTCCATGCAATAGGAAACTGAGCGGTGACCAGAACTAACCAATAGCGTTAGACTGCCGCTTAGACGCTTCAAATTTAAGGAATACCTCGGCTGATGCAGAGTTGATGAACTTTTCACAAACAAGAAAGTCTCTAAAATATAAATATATGAAAACACAGCATGACATGAGAATAATACTCATAAAACAACGTGTTTTAGCTCTGTTTGTCGGCTACAGAAGCACATTTATAAACAGAAACGTGAAGTTGCCATCTTAAAAAAACAGGAACAGCGTTTTTGTGTGATATGCTTTTCTGCCGCTAGATGGTGCAATCGGATAAGAGAAATACTCCGGAAGGAAGCTTTAAAGTATGAAAATAAGTTATTTGTTAAAAGTCCAATAAATCAAGTGATCACCTGTTCCAAACTGAGTTCTTCTTGTTTTTTCTGCTTCAGCTCTGCGGTCTGAGGAGCCTCGGACTGACGAAGCAGAGGAAAACGCCAAAGAAGAAAAGTGATGCAGAGAAAAGACAACAGGAATATAACAAATAAGATTATTGGACAGAAGTCACACAAAAGCAACAATCTGTTCTACGTTTAACTCTTTAATTCAATTCAATGATACTTTATTAATCCCAGAGGGAAATTAGATTTATCGGCA